TGATATCATGCTGGCAGCTCATGAAAACATAGACTATCCAAGTCTCTACCTTTCTCACTATGAAAATAGTTTCCCAGGCAGTTTGACTTTATCACTGCCTTTTCTATTAAATGTATAATAATACTCTAAGTTTGCATTTTTAGCCACATAAGCTGGGTGGAAGTTGGTTGGACCATCACTTTGGCTGAAATTATTAACTAGATGATGGATTTACATAAAATGTAACACAGATATTTATGATCCCCAGAAGCTGAATCCCAATGACTCTGGTGATCCCCTGACCTAATATCTAGCGCTGCCGTGAGGCTGACATTTGTACTTTTGAGTGAAAATTCTCAACAACAGTTGGATGGATTTACATTTACATTTGGTGCATATTCATGTTCTCCTCAGGATAAGTATTAACTTTGGTGATTTGCTGACTTCTCATCTAGCACCACCACTGGGTCAGAAGTTTACCAAGTGCTTTGGTTTATAGTAGCATTTGGTCAATGCCCCATCCTTCCTCATCCTCGCAGAGCTACTAGTGCGGCAGTAAGAAAATGATTGTAAATAGGCTCTTGAATGTTTTATGTTAGATGAAAAAGGTCAACTGCCTGTTATAAGGTTAAACATTTGAAGTCTGCTAGTTGCAGGTAATAAGCTTAAGCTGAAGAGTGTTGGTAGACAAGTCCAGAGAACACAGTTTCTACACGGACCCCTAGGAAAATCATTCCTCAGTAATCCCACTGTTTCAGTCTCTCTTCATGCATGAAAGAAAACTCACTAACAGGGCTAAAAATTTCACCAGCCTGCTGCCCTGCAGACATTATTTTTCAGCTGACGTAAGTGCTGATTTAACCTCATTTGATATCATCTGAGTACGTGCCAGAGAAGATATGGGAGGAGAGCTGCCAAACAGACTCTCTGGACGTCTGCCCAAAACATTTAACGGTCCCTTTCCGGCTATTTCTGTTTCATGTTATTCAGACTTCTACACTTTGTATAATTGGATTCCCTTCACATTGTGCTGGAGGGAAGAAATGCTAGAGGCTTTAAATTTTATGAATCTTCATGTATTAGTAAACTTCATAGCGGCAAGGGCTAATCACAGCTAAAGAAAAGTCCCAACTTACACTGGCCTTATCTCATGTTTCGTACACAACATAGTTCTTACACAATAACACAAGCCATACAGCACTGCACACACACACACCTGTCTTCTCCTGTTGGACTTTAGGTCAGTTCAAATGTCAGTGCTCTCAGTGGTAGTGATCGGTTGACATTCAAGTCATGTAATGAATCCTGTCCATGTGTTTTTATTTGAAACCCATTTGCTTGCCCTGTATTCTAAAATTACTGGAACACATCTTTATTGAACATCTGTGAAAATTATTCCTTTTATTTCTTCATCTCATTTGCTTGCTATCATTGTCCTTCACACACAAACACATATACACACATTGGTCTTGATATAATTATGAGGACACTTATTGACATTATGGACATAATGTATTCCCTAGCCCCTCACCCAATTCTTAACCATCACAACCCTTACTATAGCCTTACCCAAACCTAATTCTACCAAGTCAACACCCTAAAATTCAATGATTTACATGATTTACCAACATCTGTCAATCAACAATGTGATTGTTGTGTGTGTGTGTGTGTAAACAGGCTTTGGTGCCCACAGTGTGAGTAATGCTATGTACACACACACACCATCCCTCCGACTCTTTTCCTTTGTCTCCCAGTCGTTCTCAAACCTTTGTACTTTAAATTTCCTAACGGATCATTTTGGCAATACTACTGTGCCCATTTTCCCTTCACTGCTTCTTATATTCCACCTCAGGCCAGGCAAGGCCACACACAGATGCTGCTGACCTCCATCTTCTGCCACATTACCCAACTCAACTACATTTCACATTAGCACAAAGACAACTCTCTCTTATAGTAAAATTAATCTCCAGCCTAGAGCAGTGATCTGTTATAGCAGGCAAGGGAGAGTTTTTGTTGCATTTAACTTGGCATTTGCTTTTATTGATTAGCATACTTTCAACTAGACAGAAGGATCTAGTCTGTGAATGCTGTCAGCTAGGTGTATTGTCTTAAATATGGATTGCTTTGACATTGTCTTAAAGGGCAAAGCACTCAGTTCCAAAATTGATATTCTTCTTTCTAGCTAATGAACATACATCAGTCAAATCAGTGCTGTGAAATACTGAAGCCACACAAAAGCAAAAATAGAAGGCCTTGCAAATGTTTCATTAGTAATGCAAGAAAAACCACATGTAGGAAAGTCAAATACATACAATGACTGAAGCTGAATCTTAGCCTTCTGCAGGCAAATGAAGCACAGCAGAGTATGATCTACATAATGACACAAACAAATTAAATCATGTAGAACTTAAGAGTTCTTTAGGCAGACCAACTATGGATGGTGATGATGATTTTCCACTTCGGATTTCAGTAAGATTTTCCACTGAGGAAATGAATCTGCTCGTGTGCGAGTTAAAGGTCAGTGGCGCAGTCTCTTTGTGCCCTCATTTTACCAACATGCCCAAAATTTACCTGGACACACCCCATTTTCATCTGGACCCAGCTGCTGGCGTGAAATTAATGAAATGCTGCTTGGTAAAAAGACAATGTGCTATGCGCAGGTATGAAATTAGGAAACACAGAGGCTACCTGTGCTGCACACCATACATTTGTTGCAAGAAAGGGTCCTTTATTATTAATGCAAGAGTCCCACTTTTATATTGTATTGGCAGTATTTTGTTATAACACGCTTTTCAGGGCACATCCCCCTTTATTCTGTTTCCAGAGTCACATCAGTATGAACTTCTTTATGCTGCCTGAGAAAAAGCAACAAGCTTGAAACACCATCCGATGCAGAGTAGCTGTCAGTCCAAGCCTTTTGTGTTTTGCTTTTCATACCATTAAGTGCTTGTTCGTGTGCACAATTTGCACATTGGATTTTCTAACCCTTTAACTGCATTCAACAGCTCGGCTGCTTTTCTGTGTGAAATACTGGAATCTCAGCCAAAGCCAGACACAAGACAAGTGGCATTTTAATATTACATATTGTATGTGTAGTATTTTTTATTGCTTACTGTACATAGAGTGTACACAGAAAAGGGTGCTCATCTATGGCACTATTTCAGACCTGGGACTTAAATGCATTCTGGAGTGAGGATAGGAGATATGCTGAGGATTAAACCACTAATCCTTAAAAAAAACAAACATAAATCCACAGAAGAAGATTTGCCAGAGATAAGAGCAACACATTTAGAAAAAACATAATATTTTGTTTCTGGTTTTTAGGTGAAAATGTTGTTGTGTTGGGGCAGCTGAGTGAAGGACTGGAGAATGTCCCTGTGGTGCCTCCAGAATCTGAAGAGCCAGTTCTTGACATCTGTAGCCCCTGCAGCTCCTGTTCAATTGCCTCCTCTATTGTGGTCCACATCTCTGACGAGGAGCGACAGAAGTATGAGGAGGAGATCCGCAAACTTTACAAACAGCTGGATGATAAGGTGATGCATCGATGCCGCAGGAAAACCATTTGTCTGCATGAGTGTAAAGCTGATTACACAACATGGCTGAGAGTTTTGTAGCTGTATGCACACATAAACACAAAGAGTATTGTGCAGTACATGTATTAGTCATGTTAATGAAATCACAATCAGACACATAGTAGTGACTCATGTAGCAGCTCTTAGGAATAGATGTCATTAGGGAAATAGTAATGTTCTACATAATTTTACTTACATCATCTACTGTAGGTACTATATGTGCACTGTGCTCCAAAATAGTATAATGTGGTTACGTGCTTTCATTAACAGCTTTCATTAAATATGCAGAAGCAGCAGTGTCAATGCAGTGACACATTTTCTATGTAATGCATATGAGAAAAGTCACCACAATGTTTTTGGTGATTTAACACATACTGTACAGGTGTGTGGTTTCACATACAATACAAAGCAATTTATGACAGTGCATACACTTTTTATAATCTACACATGCTGTGCATTGTAGTAGACCTGATGCAGGATACTCTGTTACATGTATTTATAGACTGGACATACAGTAACTGAAACATTTATCTACTACATGCAGTGTTTCTGGAAATGGTCATTCAGTTTAGCATTGACAGAAGTTGCTCCTTCAGTTGTGGTATACATGATCAGTTGATTACAGGCCATCAAATTTAAATGCTTTTGAACAGTACCCTTATTAAAACATTAGGCCTATGTATATGATTTTCATGAATACCAAAACTACTATCACTAACTCTCCTTTGCACAGTTAAAAACAAGGTGAAATGTATAGTTGTGAGTCACAAGATGGCAGTGTATAAAGTATCTGTACTGTACCAGTGTGTACTGTACAATGCAGTATGTAACACTAAAAGAAGTATATCTATTGTATGTCTTTACCACCAAAAGGATGATGATATCAATCACCAGAGCCAGATGGTGGAGAAGCTGAAGGAGCAGATGCTTGACCAGGAGGAGGTAAAAGACAATGGTTTTACATCCTTTCAAATACACACATGCAAATGCACATGTGCAACAGCAGCAGTCACACTTTGAATAGAAGTCCGCCGTGAAAGGTTTATTATCCTGCCACTGAGATGAATAAGAAAAACAATAACACTATTTTCAGGAGTCAGAACAAATTGTTTAATCATGAGTGTATTTATGTGTTAGTAACTAGATTAAATGGATATCAGTGGCTGCTCAGGTTATTGAGGGAAGAATCTATACAAAGATACTTAGGGTAGTTATTAATCTTAACAAATTGTGCCTTGGACTGAGGGAAGGGCCTGTGTTGCCAGTTTTAGCTGACTAACATTGTGGCAGATAAACAAGTAAATGCTCTCAAATTACATAAAATATGATGTAATATGTTTTATGTGAGCATGATTCCACCATCAGTGTGAATTTTGTGTCGTTTTATGTAGCAGGAAATGGTTTACACCCCTTTATCACACAAATATCTATAGTAACAACAATTAAAGTACATCAAAATGTCATTCCAGTATTTTACAGCGTGTAATAGCATTGGCCAACCCAGTGGGCTACATAATCTGGAGCACGCCAAGTAAAAGACTACATCTGCTAAATTAGTTCATTCATATCCCAAAAACGATCCTGCTGTGATTTGAGTTGACATGATGGTAAATACCCAAGCTTACTTTCTGTGCAGTAACATGAATTTAAATCCATTTGGCGTAAAAGAAGCTATTCACTACAGGGCAAACACGCAGAACCCCGAGTAGAGGAGCATTTACTTTTATTGACATCATTACATTAAAATGACCCACTCTGAGCTGCAGCAGTGCCGACACAAGCAAGTACCATGATAGCAAAATAATGTCAGTTCTTACAGTGTCAAATGATATTTGAAGATGAATATTTAAAATGTTTCATTTGTTAAATTACTCCTGTATGTGTAACATGGTTTGTATGCATGCTCAGATACATAATCAGATAAACCCTAAAATGATTCTTTAATAAACTCCAGCAGCTGTGAATCATGAATAATCAAGAAACTCCTGTTTTACACAGTAATAAATAATGTAAATAACTTAATCTTTCTTTATTTACAGTTTATATTTAGCTGTTAAATTACTGTGCCTCTCAGCTTCTAGCATCATCCAGGGGCGATGGTGAGAAGGTGCAGTCAGAGCTTAGCAGGCTGCAGACGGAGAATGAATCTGCTAAGGCAGAGGTGAAGGAGGTCCTTCAGGCCCTGGAGGAGCTGGCAGTCAACTATGACCAGAAGAGCCTGGAGGTCGAGGAGAAGAGCATGCAAAATAAGCTCTTGGCTGAAGAGCTTGAAAAGAAAATGGTGGGTCAGTCTTTTGGCAGGCTTGTTGTTAATATTTTATACCACAAAGGGGAATATATCAGGGCTAAAAATAAAAATGAGACAGAGGAGGGTTTGTAAATGATTGTTCTAGCTTTATCTAAAATTGATAAATGAGCAGATGGACACATTTACTATAGTAGGCTACATATTGTTGGAAAGCACATTCAGAAAAGGAAAAAAAAGGAACATTAAATATGTAAAATAATCAATTTAAGTTCCCATCTTTCAAAATCAAATCAAATAAAATAAAATTTTATTTGTATAGCACCAAATCACAACAAAAGTCATCTCAGGACACTTTACAAAGTAAGGTCTAGACCTTACTGTTATCAATATTATTACATAGGGAAAACCCAACAAATCCCCCTTGAGCAAGCACTTGGCGACAGTGGGGAGGAAAAACTCCCGTTAACGGAAGAAACCTCCGACAGACCCCGGCTCTTGGTGGGCGGCCTTCTGCCTCGACCGGTTGGGGTGAGTGGATAGAGGAGAGACAAAAGAAGAAAAGCAACAAGACACAACAATCAAACACTGATCAGGTCGATGTGGCCGGTGACTGCTCGTCAGAGACATAGAGCTCCAGGGCCAGGGCAACCTGCAGAAAGGTACAGGGAGAGAGAGAG